TCTTCGCGCTCTACACCTGTCGATTTTGGGCGCCAGTCGGAAGAAGAGAATATTGCAGTATCATTGGTCGCCGGGCACAAGGGAATAGAGGAGCAGGATTTCGCATCGGCTTCCCAAGGGATGGCAGAGGATTTCCTGCTAGAGGAATTTCTTGGGGACTCGAAGGGGCTGGATTTATTTTTCGACGATGTCCTTCCACATGTAGGCTGGGATGTACCTGTGGAAGTTGCGTACCGAGAAGAGCTTGAAAGCGTCATAGTAGGAAGCGCAAGTGCACTACTGTGACGACGGTGATTGGCCCTGTCATGATGGTTGAAAGCAGCTGCAAGAAAGGAGAGATATTCTTGGATGTATTTAGGGTCAAGTTTGGTGAAATCAATAAATGGCATTCTCAATGTACCTGGCCGTCACGGTGACACTGAAACTTGAATGCGGCCGGCGGAACGGCCCTGGCATGCGGGCCGCCGGGCGGCCCCGGCCTTCAATATGCGTGCAACACTGGGCCGACCAAACAGTCCGGGCCCATGCCCAGGGTTCAAGCAGGGGTTCAAGGGTTGGGGTAGGTAAACTAGGGGGTACCGCTGAATGCACTGCCTTTCTTGGAGGGGGTGGGTGAGTTTGCAGGAAACCGCAATGGCTGCAAGGCGGCGACCAGGTTTGAGGATGATTAATTCAGCCTGTGCAATGATGACAATCGTGAAACCACCATGGTCCATCTGAGATCTATATCATGATATCAATCATTTGGATGCCATCGTTGCAGCGCTAAATATTTTCTACATTACGTATTCTCTTTTTCGTCTTGCAACCAGCAACGCCACGCAATTCCCGCAACCGGGGCATATTACTGATGAACTCTCCATCATATTCTTCTGATTCATCATAGAATCGTTCTATTTTGTTCTCCTATGTGTTATTTCTTATTTCTGGTTCCTCGTTACTATTTGATCCATCCCGTACATTGAAAGTTTTATGTTCGGCGTTTTTCTGAGGACAATTCGCTTCTTCGAATGCTCGTATACAAAAGGCAGGTTTGGATCCACTTGATAATATAGTTTCGCGAACATCTGGTTGAATTTTCCCAGAAAATCCTTCTTGTTCAGATGGCCGATCAAAGACCACAACACTAATGGTGCAGAGAGTTGGAGAATTAGAGATTTAGAGATGGGGGCCCCCATCTCCCAGCACATGATTCTGTCCTTTCACATGCTACTGTACTTGCAAATGAGTATCAATTGCAACCACAAAGCCTTCACACGTGACAGAAAGATATGTCCTTTGACATATCTTTGGCTGACACTGGTCCTGCCGATGCCTTCCACAGCCAGCTGCGACCATCGTGTACGAGACTCGCCGGCTCTGAACCATTCAGCCCTCTTTGATCGAATGCTTTGTGAAAGCCAGCCATAGTCTCTGCAATTCATGACGTCGCTTCATACCCTTCTGCCTTCAGCAGACTGATGGCCTTGTCATTGAACATCTCCAGCATGATATCCACCGACTGGATCAGCGGTCCCGTCGACCTCCATTTAAGTCATGAATGAAGGATTCTTCTTGGCAATATCACTGTGAGATTTATGCCATATCTTTACTTCCCTTGATGAAGATTGCGACTTCCCTGATCAAATCGAATGCCTGACATTCTTGAACAGGTGATTGATGCACTCCGTCAAGAAAAGCAACTTCTTAGAAATGGGAGAAATGTCTGGATTGGATAACTATTCGTCGAATCTAAAGCGGACCTTGTTTTCTCTCAAGTCATTCAGTCGATCTGATATTTGTTGCTTAATTTCCCATGGAGTGAATGATTTCTCCCCCTCTTTAATTGACTGGGCAATGTCAGAACTTCATACCATCTGCAAAATATTTGCAGTCTGCAGAACGTATCTCTCAAGGACGCTCTTGGACTCTCACTTGTATCAACATCTTCATTCAACAATTTTGCATAACTGTAGAATGATAATTTGGCTACTGGCATTGTGAAAAGCAACATCTCAGACTTACTTCAACAAGTAATCGTGAACGGCGAATTGCAAAGCATTCACTTGTCGAAGTGTGAAGTAGACCATTGTTCGGTTCGAGAGAGAAGCTTTCGATTCTTCTTGTGAGTATTGCCAATGCGTGTACGAAGTCAATTGAAATGTTCATGCATGGCCGTTGTGCCTGCATGTGATTTTCCAGACGCGTATTGCTGGAAAACTTACTCGTAGTGAGACTAGACACACCCAGAAAATCCTTCTAATGTTTGTCCAAAAACATTTCCAAGGACCTTTAGTATGTATTGCACTTCAAATAATGATATAGCACAAAGACTCAACTGAAGATGTTGGGTCGCTGAAGCTAGAAGATTCTCGCCTTCAAACTCCATAGACCAAGTTGCATGACTATGACATTGCAGGAAATGAACAGCTTGAAAATCCAGGTATCATCACTATTTTAAGTGCAAGATCCTCTGTAAATTAATTTGTTTCTCTTGTTGTTTGAATCTGTCAACACACGTGGTGAACATCGGCACATCTTGCCACTTTCGAACGCCGCTCGTTTCTCCTCGTCTTTTAGTATGATTCGCTTGTTTCTCTCATCAGATTCTGTGGCTTGCCCCTGGTATGGACGTACATAGCTTTGCCCGGCAGAAATCGAATTTGAATTTCTTTTTTGATAGAGATGATGATGATAGAGATGATGATGATGGAGATGATGGTGAAGATGATAATATGGAGGATCATGATGATCATGACGACGACGACGACGATAATGACGACGACGACGATGATGATATGATGGAGGGGATCATGAAGAAGATGAAGGAGAAGATGGAGATTATGTAAAACTGGAGGAGATAACGATGATGTTAGTGATGATGATATAGATAATGATGAGAATGACGATGACGATGACGATGATAAAGGGGACGATAATAATGATCAATATGAAGGAGGGGATGATGATGGTGGTGAAGAAGAAGCAGATTATGACGATGATGAAAGTGATGATAATATAGAGGATGCTGATGACAATGACGAGGAGCTATGACGATGATGATG